ATAATGACAGTAATGATAATAATGATGAATAATCATTCAGTCCATTTATAATGAAATAAAGCCAGAAGTAATAAAATCCCAAAGTCGAAAAAACGGCAAAATCTAGCGTATTACAGCCTTTGAGAGAAAATTTTCGCTTTTTAATGGTAATTATGAGGATTTTAACATTAATTCAGGTAATTATGATGATTTTCATGATAATTCCTTTATTATTGACAATAATGATGATAATTATGATGATAATGACAATGATATGACAATAATAATGATAAAATAAAATTATAAAGATAATTTTGATAATTACTGCAATAATAGCAATAATTAACTCTATTCCAATAATTTCATACTAATAATGGCAATAGAAATAAAAAAACATCATTATATTGTTAAAATATTATATTGTCATTATTATTTCTAAAATTATCATTATTGCTATTATCATTATATAAATAGTTATAATGATAAAAATAGCAATAATAATTAGCATAATAATTATTATAACTGCAATAATGATGATAATAATAATGATAATCATGATGATAATGACTATAATGATAATAATCATGAAAATAATGACAGTAATGATAATAATGATAATAATTATTATTCAGTCCATTTATAATGAAATAAAGGCCAGAAGTAATAAAATCCCAAAATTCGAAAAAAAATCTAGCGTATTACAGCCTTTGAGAGAAACGTCGAAAAAAATTTTAACATTAATTCAGGTAATTATGAAGATTTTCATGATAATTCCTTTATTATTATAATAATAATTATGATGATAATGACAATAATAATGATAAAATCATAAATTAAATTATAATTTTGATAATTACTGCAATAATAACTCAATTCCAATACTTTTTTCATACTAATAATGACAATAGAAATAAGAATAACATCATTATCATTGTCATTATAATTATTATTATTGTCATTATTATTTCTAAAATTATCATTATTGCTATTATCATTATATAATAGTTATAATGATAAAAATAATTATTATAACTGCAATAATGATGATAATAATAATGATAATCAATGATAATGACTATAATGATAATAATCATGAAAATAATGACAGTAATGACAATAATAATGATAATCATTATTCAGTCCATTTATAATGAAATAAAGGCCAGAAGTAATAAAATCCTAAGTCAAAAAACGGAAAAAATTTAGCGCATTCCAGCCATCTGAGTAAATTTGAGGATTTTAACATTAAATCAGGTAATTATGATGATTTTCATGATAAATCCTTTATTATTGACAATAATGAGGATAATTATAATGAAAATTAAAATGATAATGACAATAATAATGACAAAATCATAATTATATTGATAATTTTGATAATTACTGCAATAATAGCAATAATTAACTCTTTTCCGATAATTTTCATACTAATAATGACAATAGAAATAAGAATAACATCATTATCATTGTCATTATAATTATCATTATTGCTATTATTTTTTCTTTAATTACCATTATTGCTATTATCATTATATAAATAGTTATGATGATAAAAAATGAACTGATAATTAGCATAATAATTATTATAACTACAATAATAATGATAATAATAATGATAATCATGAATAAAGACTATAATGATAATAATCATGAAAATAATGACAGTAATGATAATAATGATGATAACCATTATTCAGTCCATTAATAATGAAATAAAGGCCAGAAGTAATAAAATCCAAAAGCCAAAAAAAAAAAAAAAAACGGCAAAATCTAGCGTATTACAGCTTTTTGAGAGAAACATCGAAAAAAACCCTTTTCGCTTTTTAATGGTAATTATGAGCTTCTAAAATTATCATTATTGATATTATCATTATAGAAATAGTTATAATGATAAAAATAGCAATAATAATTAGCATAATAATTATTATAAATGCAATAATGATGATAATAATAATGGTAATCATGATGATAATGACTATAATGATAATAATCATGAAAATATTGACATTAAATATAACAATGATGATACTAATCATTATTCAATCTCTTCATAATTAAATAAAGGCCAGACTTAATAAAATCCTAAATGTCGAAAAGCGGCAAAATCTAGCGTATTACAGCCTTTTTAGAGAAACGTCGAAAACCCCCTTTTCGGTTTTCAATGGTAATTATGAGGATTTTAACATTAATTCAGGTAAATATGATGATTTTCATAATAATTCCTTTATTATTGACAATAATGAGGATAATTATGATGATAATGACAATGATCATGACGATAATAAGGATAAAATCATAATCATAATGATAATTTTGATAATTACAGCAATAATAGCAATAATATCATACTAATAATGACAATATAAATAATAATATCATTATTATTGTTATTATAATGAGTATTATTGTCATTATTATTTCTAAAGTTATTATTATTTATTATCATTATAAAAATAGTTATAATAATGAAAATGACAGTAATAATTAGCATAATCATTATAACTGTAATAATGATAATCATGACGATAATGACATTAATGATGATAATCATAAGAATAATGACAATAATGATGATAATGATATTTATATAGTCCATTTATAATGAAATAAATAAAAAAACGGCATAATCTAGCGTTTTACAGCTTTTTGAGAGAAACGTCGAAAACCCCTCTTTTTGCTTTTAATTGATAATTATGATGGTTTTAACATTAATTCAGGTAGTTGTGATAATTTTCATGATAATTCCTTTATTATTAACAATAATTATGATAATTATAATGATTTCTGCAATAATTCTGCTAATTATGATGATTTTGATTATAATCCCATTAATAATGACGATAATAATGATAATTATGACATTGATTAGGATAATTATAATAAAATAATTATAATGATAATTTGCGTAACTAATGCAATGATAGCAATAATCAACAATATTTTGATGATTTTCATGATAATAATAATATTGATAATGATAATAATTTAAAATAATAATAATAATAGAAATAATCACACTATCACTATCATTGTTATCATAATTATTATTGTTGTTATTATTTCTAAAATTATCATTATTGTTATTATCATTATAAAATAGTTATAATGAGGAAAATGATATTAATAATTAAGATGATAACTTTTAATAATCATTTTAAGGGTAATTATGGCGATACTTACTATAATGATGATAATTATGATAATGATATTAATGATAATAATGACGATGATAATAATTATGAAGCCCATCCATAATATAAAAAGGCTAAAAGTATAAAAATCCCCAAAGTCGAAAAAACAGCGAAATCTAGCGATATATGTCCTTTTGAGAATATGGTGGAAAAAGACCATTTTCGAGTTTATGGGATGATTATGATCATATCTGCAATAATTCTGCTAATTATCATCATTTTGATAATCCCATTAATAATGACGATAATAATGATAATTATCACATTAATTAGGATAATAATAATAAAATGATAATTATAATGATGATTTGAGTAATTAATGCAATAATAGCAATAATCAACAATATTCTAATGATTTTCATGATAATAACAATAATAATACCGATAATGATAATAATTAGAAATAGTAATGAAAATAGAAATAATCATAATATTAATGTTATAAATATTATTTTGTTGTTATTTTTTTTGTAAAATTATCATTATTGTTATTATCATTATAAAAATAGTTATAGTGAGGAAAAGGACATATAATTAAGATAATAAATATTATAATGATTATTTTATGGGTAATTTTGGCGACAATTACTATAATGATGATATTCATAATATTAATGATAATAATGATGAATATAATGATTATAAAGCCCATCCCTAATGAAAAAAAGGTTAAAGTATAAAAATCCCCAAAGTCGAAAAAACGGCGAAATCTAGCGATATATAGCCTTTTGAGAATATGGTCGAAAAAAAACCTTTTTCGAGTTTATGGGATGATTGTGTAGTGAATCCAACCCTTTACTTTAATATCCACTCGAGATATCCGCCCGATAGCGCTGCCACCACCTGGTTAATCCGTTCAGGAACGAGTATTGTGGATGTAAAGTAGGAGACGTGTAGATGAGGGTGAGAAACAATAGTAAAGGGTGAGGTGAAGAAAGGTATATCTGATCAATAACTCGACGGTTTCCCGTGTTGGTTAGCGTGGTTTATCCGTGTAGAGTGCGTGTCAGTCTATGTATGATAGTCTGATAGAAGGTATTTCAGTCAGGTTATTAAATTTAACTGGTAGGTTTTTTAAGAGAAAATCATGTCAACATGAAATATTGATTCTAAAGCTTCTATTTTAGCCTTTTTAGTCACTCTGGATCTTTTAATGTTTCAATTTTAATGAATTATATATCATTGTTTATTTTCATAACTTTTATCTTTACTTTCTGTATTTTACTTCATTTCTTTAGATTATTCTTTATTTAATTCGTGGTGAAATCTTAGCAAGAGAAAATTTACTAGGAAGTCATAAAATACATGTTAAAATCATATATATATTTAACATAAAACAAAACATTAAACACGTAAATCACAAAAAGAATGCCGAACTAAAAATAGCAAAACACAATACTTACAAATGAATTTTGTGATAAAATTAATAAAAGGGAAAAAACAGACGAAAGCGTAAAAGCTCAGGGCTTAAAAGAAACAAAAACACAGATCCCAAAACAAACTAGATCACTGCGCCTTATTATGAAAAAGAAAAGCTAAAGTTTCTCATCAAAATATCCTCCATTGAATCCGCGTCCTTACGACCGTGATCAAACCAAGGAAGTTATCAAAAATAACCGAGCTAATATACATATAAAAAAGTAGGGGTAGAGGTAGAGTAAGGTATAAATAGAGAGGGGTAGAGGTAAAGTAAGGTAGAAGTTGAGAGGGGTAGAGGTAGAGTAAGGTAGAAGTAGAGAGGTAGACTACGTAAGGTAGAAGTAGAGAGGGGTAGAGGTAGAGTAAGGTAGAAGTAGAGAGGGGTAGAGGTAAAGTAAGGTAGAAGTAGAGATGGGTAGAGGGAGGAAAGTTAGCACAGAATTAAGTCAGGCGTAGAAAAGCGTAAGGGAAAAGCGCAGACAGAGAGCTCAGGAGGATCTGAGGACGAGGCCCACGATTTCCAGCCTATTTATCTGCATTGCCCCCAATGATCATTATAGTCATTATCATCATGATTATCATTATTATCATCATTATTGCATTTATAATAATTATTATGCTAATTATTATTGCTATTTTTATCATTATAACTATTTATATAATGATAATAGCAATAATGATAATTTTAGAAATAATAATAACAATAATAATTATAATGACAATGATAATGATGTTATTATTATTCTATTGCCATTATTAGTATGAAAATTATTGGAATAGAGTTAATTATTGCTATTATTGCAGTAATTATCAAAATTATAATTATAATTATTATTATTATTGTCATTATGTCATTATCATAATATTCATTATTGTCAATAATAAAGGAATTATCATGAAAATCATCATAATTACCTGAATTAATGTTAAAATCCTCATAATTACCATTAAAAGCGAAAGGTTTTTTTTCGACGTTTCTCTCAAAAGGCTGTAATACGCTAGATTTTGCCGTTTTTCGACTTTGGGATTTTATTACTTCTGGCCTTTATTTCATTATAAATGGACTGAATAATATTATTATCATTATCATTACTGTCATTATTTTCATGATTATTATCATTATAGTCATTATCATCATGATTATCATTATTATCATCATTATTGCAGTTATATAATTATTATGCTAATTATTATTATTTTTATCATTATAACTATTTATATAATGATAATAGCAATAATGATATTAGAAATAATAATGACAATAATAATAATTATAAATGATATGATGTTATTATTATTTCTATTGCCATTATTAGTATGAAAATTATTGGAATAGAGTTAATTATTGCTATTATTGCAGTAATTATCAAAATTATCATAATTATGATTTTCATTATTATTCATTATTATTGTCATTATCATTATAATTATCATCATTATTGTCAATAATAAAGGATTATCATGAAAAATCATCATAATTACCTGAATTAATGTTAAAATCCTCATAATTACCATTAAAAGCGAAAAGGTTTTTTTTTCGACGTTTCTCTCAAAGGCTGTAATACGCTAGATTTTGCCGTTTTTTCGACTTTTGGGATTTTATTACTTCTGGCCTTTATTTCATTATAAATGGACTGAATAATATTATCATCATTATTATCATTACTGTCATTATTTTCATGATTATTATCATTATAGTCATTATCATCATGATTATCATTATTATATTATCATATTGCAGTTATAATAATTATTATGCTAATTATTATTGCTATTTTATCATTATAACTATTTATATAATGATAATAGCAATAATGATAATTTTAGAAATAATAATGACAATAATATAATTATAATGACAATGATAATGATGTTTATTTTATTCTATTGCCATTATTAGTATGAAATTATTGGAATAGAGTTAATTATTGCTATTATTGCAGTAATTATCAAAAATTATAATTATAATTATAATTATTATTGTCATTATCATTGTCATTATCATCATAATTATCATCATTATTGTCAATAATAAAGGAATTATCATGAAAATCATCATAATTACCTGAATTAATGTTAAAATCCTCATAATTACATTAAAAAGCGAAAAGGTTTTTTTTTCGACGTTTCTCTCAAAAGGCTGTAATACGCTAGATTTTGCCGTTTTTTCGACTTTGGGATTTTATTACTTCTGGCCTTTATTTCATTATAAATGGACTGAATAATATTATTATCATTATTATCATTACTTTCATTTTATGATTATTATCATTATAGTCATTATATCATGATTATCATTATCATCATTATTGCAGTTATAATATTATTATGCTAATTATTATTGCTATTTTTATCATTATAACTATTTATATAATGATAATAGCAATAATGATAATTTTAGAAATAATAATGACATAATAATAATTATAATGATAATGATGTTATTATTATTTCTATTGCCATTATTAGTATGAAAATTATTGGAATAGAGTTAATTATTGCTATTATTGCAGTAATTATCAAATTATCATTATATTATGATTTCATTATATTGTCATTATCATCATAATTATCATCATTATTGTCAATAATAAAGGAATTATCATGAAAATCATCATAATTACCTGAATTAATGTTAAAATCCTCATAATTACCATTAAAAAGCGAAAAGGTTTTTTTCGGTTTCTCTCAAAAGGCTGTAATACGCTAGATTTTGCCGTTTTTTTCGACTTTTGGATTTTATTACTTCTGGCCTTTATTTCATTATAAATGGACTGAAATAATTTATTATCATCATTATATCATTACTGTCATTATTTTCATGATTATTATCATTATAGTCATTATCATCATGATTATCATTATTATTATCATTATTATTGCAGTTATAATATTATTATGCTAATTATTATTGCTATTTTTATCATTATAACTATTTATATAATGATAATAGCAATAATGATAATTTTAGAAATAATAATGACAATAATAATAATTATAATGACAATGATAATGATGTTATTTAATTTCTATTGCCATTATTAGTATGGAAAATAATTTTAATGAGTTTATTGCTATTATTGCAGTAATTATCAAAATTATCATTTGAT